ATTCCGCAAATCCGGGATTTTGCGAGCTGTAACATTGAAATAAATACTCTCGAGTTGGAAAGTTTACGAAATTCAAGGATTTGATAATCTTGTGATCTATCTATTAATACGACCAATTTGCGAAGTACCTACTTAAGAAGCTGTGCAAAGATACATGAAATAACTCGCAGCGAAGATTTGTCGAGAATCAAATCTCTTTAATCCTCTTTCTTTCGGGTCACCTGGTATGCGATCGTTATAAACGCAGCGAGTTGCAGAAATTTTTATTTCTCGAGTCGCGTGCGCGCTTGTCTTCGCGCGTTTTCGTGCTGTATCGACAGATATTGAATCGAGATACGGTCATCAGTGTGTGTGATAATCGTTCGGACAGAAATGACAACGTTAATTGCCACCGCGTGAAATTACGCGCGTGGATAACGCGGAAATTCTGTTAATTTTTCCGCTGGAATCGATACGTCGTTATCTCGCAATTCCTCTACGGAATCTTCTTCTAACAGATAATTAGATAGACAGTTGTATTTGTTTATAAAAAGAATCGCGTGTGCAAAACAAGTTCAATGCGTTCATATTTGCATTGATTTTTTTCCTGCATTGCAAATTCTTCTGCGAGAACGTTTTTTATTTCGTCTTTTCGTGAAAGAAATGGAAAATTATAAATTGAAGAAAAGTGAACAACACACACAACACAACTGTTAATAACTTAACGTGATTCTAATCAGAGGGGCACAAAATATCAGATTAACCGACGGCGTCGTGTCGAAACAGATGACTACACGTAAATTAACAAATACGTGTCCTATACGTCGTGTATAAGATTCCGGATAAGATAAGATTGTGGAACCAATCTTGGGTCTTGGAAATATAGATATTCTGTTCGATACGCAGCGTTGCGTTTGATAAACTTCTCGAGATTTTTCAACGAGTCGAAAAATTTTCTTCGACGGTACCATTTCGATCTGGTTCATTGCCGGTTTTATTGACGATTACGACAAATTAAAGAAAGATCGGCGGTTCTCTCTCTTACAATTATCGGCAAAAATTTCAGCGGTGTTCACAACGGTGAGTTATCAGTAGAAAATGGTAGACAAGGGCGGGTCGGTTGCAGGGGTTGCGCGCGCCTCCGCAGATCAATATTTCATTTCAGCCTCGCCAACCTCCGACCGCCACCCTATCTCCCTATCTTCCGCTTGCTCCGCCATCCCCTGGTCCAACCCCTGGTTTTCTGCCTCTTCCCTCGCGACCTCGCGTAGCTGCGTCTTGCTCTCTTGCCATTCTTCACCCCCGCCGTGTTTCGCCCTTGTTCCTCCGTTCTCTTTCCTCATCCGCGCGATTTGCGTTTTATCTCCCTCGTATTCTCTTCCTCCCTCCCTCGTCACTCCTCTCATTAGTCTTTTTTATCAGCTCCTGATGACTCTGTTATTGCTTATTCGGTATTGTTTTCGAAACATCCAAAGTCTCATTTATCATCGATCGTTTCGGAAGGGAATATGTTTTTCACACAACTAACAAGTTAATAATCGTGTCTTGTTGAGAACAAAACGAGATACTCAGTGTCTAAACCTGCGTTAATTAATTATCTTTTAATATCCGAAGTTCGAGATTAGAATGTCATTCATTGTCTTAAAGCGACGTAACGCGGCGGTTTCCTGTGCGAGATAAGCGAGCGTTGACCTCAAATAATCACGTTTTATTTATTTCTCACGGTCTATAGAGCTTATGCGTCAGTATCAAAAAACAAAAAAAAAAGATATAGTTCGGTAAATGTAGGGAAAAGACACCTTTGAAGTTTTTTCTGTTTTTTCCTTTAATCAAATCTTGATTGACTAACAAAACGACTTGGATATTACAGTTGGTAAAAGTGTGCGTTACTTATACTGACTTAAACCAAAAAATACGTTTTTCGGAAAGACAAGAAAGCTAATTCGAAAACTTTAGAAGCGCTCGGGATTAAAGTGATAGTCATTTTGAGAAGTTTGTGTATACACTACTGTCACGAATCGGCCCTTTGCTTATTGCGCCTTGGCGGCACAAGCGACACCGACTTTAACCTAATTGTAATCTTACGATCGATGTTACGAGAGCGCGGCGGTACTGCGCGTCGCTTTCGCTCCGCATTGTTTCAGTTATTCATTCGATGCGGAGCTCGCGGAATGGCATGTGCCGGACGGCGAAAGAGAGGGAGAGAGGGAACGCGCGGAGAGAGAACACAAAAGTGCTCTCGTTCGCACACCTCTCCGCAACTTCAACGGTTGTGTGTACACGCCGTTCAATCAATCTGCGGTTTTTCAGTAACGAGTCTCACGCTGCGCGTTTCCATTGCCCCTTCGGATAAATAGCTTCTGACGTGTCGGATCCCGAGCGAGACGAGAGAGAGAGAGAGAGAGAGCGTCGCGAGAATTGCCGTAATTAAAAATTTATACATTGGCTCGGGTCGAACTTTATTTTATTAATGCTGACACACAATATCTACGTTAGTGTTTTTTTTTTTTCGTGCACAATCAATTTTTGACGAGGGATTATTTTCGTTTTTTTTTAAACAAGATCAATGTTACGATGTTAGTATTTTCAATTGAATTTAAATTTAAAAAAATTCATTAATCGCTTTTGTTTATCAATAAGCAAAATTCATGAGTTTATTTGGATGAAAACGGAAAACAGCATACATAAACATGCGAGCTATCGAATAACGCTGATTAAGTATTAAATAATTGCGAGGCTACGTAGCCATAAAATTTTAATTCATGATTTATATATGTATTTCAAAGCAAACAAATATATAGCATAATATTGCAGTGTCAATATGAATTTATAAATAGCTGCAATTTGCTCGCATTTAAATAAACAACATCGCGTTTAATGCGGAACGCTTTCAAGAAGAAATTGATGTGTGTTTCATGGCTTTTCGAGGCAAATCTCTCTTTCTCTCGTTCTGTAAATGTAAACTGGCGAACGCATTCATAAACCTGTTTCAATAAACACGAAAACTACGAGGCACACTTTTCAGAGAGAGAGAGAGAGAGAGAGATAATTAAAGAAGAGCAACGTATACTTAATCCAATTAGACATTTATTTATCGTTACAGCGATGAATAAAATTACGAAGCGCGAATTATGCAATGTGTGTATGTATAAATTATTATTAAATTTTATGTGAAGAGAGAGAACACACACACACACAATGCGATACATATAATTTCAAGCGAATAGATGCAATAACGAATTGAAAGCAAAACTATTTATTTATTTTTTTTTTTTAATAAAATAAGATCGTGTATTTAATACAAGACAAATATTTTTTGATAAAAAGAAACGTGTAGTTTAGAATTTAGAGAGAAAGAAAGAAACAAACGTACACACAGTCAAATTGAAATATGAAATACATTGAGATTTCACTGAATTGATCAATAACCAGGCCATAATCCAGCGTACGTGTAATTCTCCGAAAGTATAATCTCGCGAAACGTATACATGAATTTATACACAATCCGGATATTGTCGCAACGGGGGAAGCTAATTTTCATTTCAACATTAATTTAATTCGTCTCACGAACGGGATAAATGTAATTGCACTCGAGTTTGTCAAGTTTCGGGCACGTCGCATTTTCCAGAAGACGTGAGATCGAATTTGTCGCCGATGCATACTGATCGCGCATCGCGGATAATGAATAATGTTACGATGTATGTACGTATGTGTATATATATATATATATATATATATATATATATATATGTACGCACACATACATGCGCGTGTTTCATTGACACGGCTTTTCGGTACGGTTTTGTAGTTGTTTGTAGGTGTTCGGTGGTCCCACAACAAACGAGGGGGATACGCGCGCTTCATTTAAATTTTCACGAGGACGTAATGTCACTTCGCGCGATTCAACGAACGACGCGGCGGCGTGGTGGCTGTGATGTCAACGTCGACAGCGTGTCGGCGCGACCGAAATTGCCCATGTTACACACTCGAGACACACGCTTGTATGTGCAACGTATAATTTTCCACGTGGGTACGGAGAACATTGAACCGATAAAGTCTTTGATCGATAAATTCACAGAGATTCACAGAGAGTTTTACTGTGCACACATTTTTCATATAATTATGTAAATCAGATTAATTTTGTGATTTATTTTATTGTCCGCTGCGTATTGCGTCTGCACAATGTCGCTTTCTAAGATTATTTAAATCATCGAAGTACACCGTGAAATATCTTCTCAAGAGAACGTTTTCAAAAAAAAAGCAACAGCATCTTCGTTAATTATAAATTCAATGACATAAGATATAAAAATAGATCGAGAAAAAAAAAATAAGTAGGCCGCAATTTTCCGCAGAAAATTGTTGAGAGCACGGCAAGGGAAATGACGAGAAGAAAAGAGAACGATCGCGCTCTGTTAGGTCTTTTTTTTTTTTTTTTCTGTACGAAATTTTGTGCGACTTGAAATGATCCCGAAGTAGTAGGTAGGGCAAGAAAAGCACATAAGATCGACTGAGACACGTGTGTGACAGACGTTTCGTAAGAGAGCGACAGATAGAGAGAGAAAGAGACAGAGAGTTGTGAGAGGAGGGATGAAGAAGACGGATAGTTCTAACGACGAGGAAGGAAGAGAGAAAGAGAGGTGAATAAATAGGTAGTTCCGAGGCGCTTAAAGCGAGATGGTGGAAGCGAGTTGGACGCGCGATCGAAAGAGCGAGCGAGTTGGAGAAGTGGATCGAAGTGTGGAGAGATAAAAGGAAGGAAAAAGATGCGAAGAGAGTCGTCGCGTCGCCGTCGTGTGGTGTAGCGTGGTGCGGCGCGGCACGTCGGGATCCCGGGACACGGCCGCGCGCCGCTCCGCTGCCCCACCCAGGCTCGGCGACGGCCATGCCGGGGCCGAGGAGTCCGATCAATACCTTCGACTCGGGCACGAGATGCCACGAACGTATACGATCGCGTTCGGACGCGACCGAGCCCCGGCACGAGGCAAACCGAGTTCCCCTCTACGGGCGGCGTTGCCGGCTCAGTCGCTGTGCGGGAGTGGTCGTTGAGGGATGTGTGGTATCGCAACCGAGAGTGTGACCGAGGAATAAGGAGCCGGCGTCTTAGTTTTTTCGCTCGCGTTCCACGCTCTCTCGTTTCAATTAATCCGTCTTCGCGCGTATTTTCTTATCGGAAATAAAATAAGAAACGAAAGAAACCGGATAACACGCGCTCACAGTCACCGCCGTCTTCGCCGCGGCAAGTTCCTTCTCTCGGTTTCGTCCTCCCCCGCGCGCGCGCGTACGCCCGCCCGCTTTCTCGCGAGAGCCGGTGCACGGATCCCGCATATAGACGTGGATTTACTTCATTATTTATTGTACAAAGAACTATAAGTCATAAGGTAAGGTGCAAGACAAAAAAAAATCGCGATTTTGCGTCGCATTTTCGTGCTCCTCTTTTTCATCTCCGTCTCTCTCTTCGTGTGTGTTACACGTCCCTCTCTTTGCTTCGTTCACCTCTTGCGCCCTCTCCGTTCCTCCTCTGCTGCTGCCTCTCTCCGCCTGCTATAGCGCGCAGGTCGGTCAGGCCACTTCCACGCACTCATCACTTCCTGCGTGACCGACTCGCCGCCGGCGGTCGCTTCTCGATTCTGTTCTCGTCGCTTATCATCGCTCTCGTGGGAACCTCGCGCCAGCGAGCGAGCGAGCGAGCGAACGAACGAACGAACGAGCCAGAAAGAGAGAGAGAGAGAGAGAGAAAGAGGCCGGCTATCGATCCTTGTGGCGTCGTACTGCGTCGCAGAACGACAGCTCGTTCGCATTCTATATTCTCCGCATTGACGCTTTAATGCAAGATTTGCTCGCACGTCCGAGTCATGTGTACGTGATTGAGGTTTCTTTACTCGGTGGATCGATTGATGAATCAATCGAGGCGAGACGGAGGAGGCGGGGGCCCCGTCTCTGATCTCGATTGATCGCGCTCGCGATAATCAAGCCAAAGGCGTCATCACCGTCGGAGAATGCAGCCCGGAATTCGCTCTCGCTCCGTGAAAGTAGCGCCGTGGCGCTACTACGGCTGGCTCCCTCTTTTAAGAGAGGGACGGCTGTTCACGCGCGGCCATAACCTCAAATCGCATGGCACGACGTGATGATGAGTAATATTATCCTTCTTCGTCTTTGCGCGATCGCGGTACGTACTCTCGCCGCCGACCTTCGTCGCGACAGCGCCGCGTACGTCGTTCGTTCGCCACCTACGAAAGCTTTCGGCATGGCTAAATATGTCCTTTCGGAGGCGCTTTACGCGCGACGTTTCTTCGCTGAGTGTCTACTCTTTTTATCACCGAGAATAACTGATATTAACGAGGAAAAAATAGATAATAAATATCAAATAGTCGAGGCGTGTTTTTAACGATCGAGTTATCATTTATGACGATATTTTATGTATTTTATACCGAGTTTTTATCTCGGTATAAAATACATAAAATTGGTGATAAAATTCCGTTTAAATTTTCAAAAAGCACAAAGTTGTTAAATGTTTTTTTTTTTTTTTTTTTTACAGTTTTATATTCGTTCAAAATTTTAGTGTCGAAGATTTGATTTTCACTTTGGCCGCGCAATTTAATTTAGATTTGACGGCCGCAAAATACGTCCTTACGTAACAATTATTGGTGATAGATCGGCGTATATGTTCTGTTTCAATCATTGTATGATTAATCGCGTGGATTGTTCTTGTGTGTTTCCTTCCTGTTGTCTTTGACGCGTAGATCCTGCATCAATCGATTAAATAGTGTATAATTGTTCATCTTTTTTTTTTTTCTATTGAAAGCAACGCGCAGATCCTATAATGATCGATACCCTTGAGATCTTGTTAAACGCGAGGTCTTTTTATTTTCTAAGTTTATTTATAGCAACAGTTTAATTATATTTTGTTTCTTTCTCTTTCTTTCTCTCCTTCTCTCTTTTTCTCAAGTTCATGTGACTATATTTATTGTAATATATAGTTGACAATCGATGTCGGCGAGGAATGCAGTATACTTTTTAAAACGAGAGAGAGAAACTTGGTGTTCAAAGGAATTTTAATCAAATATTTACACAGTTTTTGTTTGCGTGTTAATCATGCGGATTTTATTTTGACATTGATAAAAATCAGTTGGCATTTTTGATAAAAACACAAAGCGATATTTTAGATCGAGAAAAATTCAAAATGCCGTGTTTATTTTTTTCCTGTAATGTTAATTTTTAGAAAAAAAATTTGCCGATGAAAATAAAAGTACGATACGCAAGCAAGTGCACCGCGCGAAGCAATGAATTAGAGACAGAGAGAAGAAAGAGAGAAAAATGTTCTTGTGCTATGTGCACTTTTTTTCAGTCACTGTCTGATCGCTGGCGACGGGATTAAACGTTTATAGAGAAGGAAAAACTTTTTTTTCCTCTTACAGAATCGATTATCGCTTCGCAATGTACGTTTCACGCGTGTGAATATCGCGAAACACACGGTGGCATCTCGATATCAAGTGCTTGGATATTAATTTTTATCAGTACACCGCGTTTATCTGCGCGCGTCACGCTCTGGTGATAGTACCGTCGCTTTTTATTTTTTTCGCGTACTTGTGTTTAAAATCGAAGTTTTCACAGAAGAGAGAGTTTACTTCAGTCTTCAACAATTACGACTCGGTGATAATCTATAGTGGCCACTTGATTGCTTGTTTATAATATAAATGTAGAAATGATTGGACAGATCGTGCGGGGTTAACTCTAGAGAGAGAGAGTTTATCTCTTACAATTGGTTTTATTTGATATTAATTAATTTGCATATAAATATATTTCGTAATTCTTTTTACGATTAATGTTTATATATCTATTGTAACGAGTAGTTATATTTAGATAAGCGTTATATGTTTAATATAAATTATACATGTGCTATATATATGTATATGCTTTATCAGCACGTGAGAAAGAGAGTTAATTTATGACACTGTCAGTTGGTATTAATGAATCGCGACGAGATCGCGTGAGTATGGCAATGACGATTTTACTCGGAATTGTAGCCTCGTTGCCAGATCGCCGGCATTCATAAAAGCTTGCAAAAGCGTCGATTTACCCACGCGTGACGCCAGCCGCATTCTTTCTGCACCGAGGCGGAATGGAAAAAGTGCATTTACTTTCAGAATCAAGAATCGATTTAACAGTTATGCCAAAGAAACGACAAAAAAAAAAAATCTACACCGTCATACTGCGGCTAAGAATTCTGGGAATTTCAGAAATTTATTGAAGTAGCTGTTGAAAAATTTGTTGTTTACAGTTTTTTTCTACAATTATGCACCTCGTACGTTTAAAGAAAAATTATATAAATCTACAAGATTACACGTTTTTATATAGCATCTCATTTCAAAATTAATAATAATTGGATCATATTCGAGATAATCTTTGTGAGAAGTGAAACGAGAGTTTGCGGGGCATATCTTGGTAATTCGTGAAACTTCCGTGCGACAGAAATATTTTGGCAACGCGGATGTCACATCATTCTCGTCGACGCAGTGTGTTGAGCGCCGACTCGGCAACCGTCCCATCAAAGCCAGGTGATAGCGCGTGATTAAATATAGAAATCGTAAAATACACGTAACACATCACCTCGCGCGTTAATAGTTCTTTTCTCGAAGATGCGTTTTTTTATCTTATTCTCGATCAGATTATTTTTTACCGCTCGTAGTTTGACACATCGTTTGAAACATACGTTTTTTTTTGTTTATCGCGAAAAAAAACATTGCGTGAAATAAAAATTACAGGTTGTCGAATATAATGAAACGCGATCGTTTACCTTCCGAGAGAAACGCGCGCGCGTTTTATAATATCGCGTACATTCATCTTATAATTTGTTCCTAGCGTTTTCCCACGCGTAATTTGCAGTTCTTTTACCTTGATTGCACGTGTATAGAAGATTATTTCTCCTACTTTTTTAAACATTCTTTTTTTTTTCGTAATAAATTGCTTTTTTCCACGAGTGCTTTCTGCGGTAATGAGAAATTTTTTTTTAATGGAATTGCTTTTTTTTTTTTGGTCGAATCTTCTCATTAAATTTATAGAGCATTTAGCGATAGATAGTACATTTTTGTGTTTTTATTTTTGTAAAATAAGAGGTAGTAAATTTAAAATTGGCAAAAATGGAAGAAAGTTCTTACGCGAACACATTTCTTATATATAAAACATTTAAACGTGTATACAAAACGCTAAATAAAGCATAATAAATTATTATACGATATGATTATCAACAATATTTTTAAGACACTTAATCAACCCGTTGACTTTGCGTGCCGCAAGAAATTGAAGTGCTTCCGGAATGCCATCCTCTTCTGTTCCTCGAGTGCATCCTCAAAACCGGAAGCATATTAATGGAAACCGGATCTCGAGTCTTTCCCTCGTTTCGTGACATAGAATTTTTTTTTATCTCTCGTCGTGTAAATTTGCGCGATTCATTGCCACTAAATGTGGAGCGTGGGTAAACTTCGTGTGTGCGATCTTCGTCGACGTCAAAGTTAATCCGAATTTATCGCGCGGTCGCGAATTTATTACCTACGATCACGCAAAATGCATAAAGAATTTCTTAATCGCGTCGAAGCGAAATAAGTTTTGAACAAAATCAAAAATCATCAGAAAAAGCGAGCAGCTATTAATCCCGTGTGGAGTCTACATGAATATTAGAATTTTTGAAATAAAAAAAAAAGTCTAAAAAATATTTCTATATAATCGATTTACGGATCTCATGGAAATTTACAAACGACACTTTCACATGAACAATGCATTTGCACAGTTGTTCGAGACGCATTTTTGAGCGCGAGAATCATCACGAAAGAATTCGATTGTGTGTGTATAAATTTCTTTTTTTTTTTTCATATCACGTTTCTTACAAACGGTGTGCTGTTACACAGTCGAGAATTGCAGGCGCGATTTACTGTCATTTTTCTTCTCGCTCACGACAGGTGACACGATCGGACATTATTTCCGGTATTCTCTGACTCTTCCATCCTTGACGCCAATTATTCGGTTCACTGAGAAAGAAATGCTCTTTGTCACATGCGATTAGATGCAATTGCACCTCGACCTGTTACTCATCGTCCGAACAGTAACTTCAGTAACAAACAAGTTCTTCGATTTCTCGTATCGCTCGTTCGTTAGGGTAAACATCCGTTGATACACGATTGATTTAATGTGGAAATTCTTTTATCACATTGATAAATTAATATTATAATCGAAAATGAATCACTATGTGTCGAACAGTCTCGTAATTGTGTATACAATGTTTCTAAAATTTATATTTATAATCGAGTCTTTAAAATAGTGGAATTATTATGCATATGTATGTTAATATAAAGCAGTCTCTAGAGCTCTTTCGCGGAGTTTTTCGATGCCATCGACCAGTTTTAAAGTAATGAGTCATCGCGCCATGTGATACCCTCTTGTTCTACACGAGATTGTTCGCGCGGATGTGGATGTGTGTGTGTGTGCATGTGCATGTGCATGTGCGCTCCGTGACATGCGCCTTTCTCTTTAACGTGACGGTTACGACGTACTGTTGTTTCTTCCTTAAGATTTGAACAATATTTCTGTTGAAAAATGTTTGTTATATACGATATTGTCCGATAATCTCTCGTTTGCGACGCGAGCGTGTAAGTAGGTATTTTATTTACAATCTATTTTTATGAAGAAACCTTCTCTCCGGGAACTACGATGTATTTTTAATTATCCTGCAAGAGCGCGCACACCACAAAAATCTCTCCCTGAGGAAATCTCTCGATGCGATCCGCGAGCGAGCGTCAGTCTTTTTTTTTTCCTCTCTGTTGCATCTTCTCCGCTGAAAAATTTAATTCAAAGAAAAGTAATTCAGAGGAAGTTGGCGCTTTTATCACATCTTTCAAAGAAAACCACTCTTGTCTTCCGGTACTTTTAACTTTGTAAACGACTACATCTACTGAAAAAAAAAAAAAAAAAACATCTCGGTGAAAATTTGTCCTCTGGTATTTTTTTTCTCGAGAAAACACGTTACGGAACAATCACTTTTCCAGTCCATTTTTTGCATCAAGAATCACGTGTGTTATATATGTGGTTCAATGCTTGATATACTCTGCGGTCTAGACTTGCTTCCCCGTTCGAGAGATGTAATTCGTTCTTTCAATTTCACGGCATGAATCATCGTCGTTTCCTCTCTCGCGTACTACACAACGACGTAATACTCCGGTGAAACGAACACGTTACGACATATCGTTGCTCTCAACACATAAACGTTTAACTAAGAACTTAAATATTTCGTTGCGCTTTTTAAGACGCGGCGATCTTGCCTTCCGGAACTTGGTTTTGTAAGAAAAAATGTTTTTCTTCACGGTTTGCTTATTGACAATCGATTGAACTAACTCACTGAATTTACACGTGTAAGTACATAATAATACGCTGGCAGGATGTCGGTTTCTCGAGCGTGTCAGCGTTTGAATGATTTCTTTTTGGCCGTCTGTGAATGGCAGATGTGCGAACCGAGCAAAAAAAAATTAGAAAGGAACGAGGAGAGTTTCGCGACGAAGGTTGTCAGTTCCACGCGCTTCGAACTTGCCGTGAGTGATGATAAATTACTGAGGAATGAGATTTTATGAGTAGAGAAAGGCGTAACGCGTCTTATTAGCGTGATATTTGTGTGCGTGGCTTTTTTGTTTTTTTTTTTTTTTTTTTTTTTTCACTTGAAAAGTTTAAGCGCGTCATAAATTTGTTTTATCACGTTGCTCCCGAATAAGACGGGATTGCAGCGTAATAAAGAAATTACTCCTCGTTACACGAACGTTACATTGCGTGCGCATACTACGACGATTCAGCGATGTCTCGATCGACAAAGCGAAACGATTGATCGTAGAAGATAAGAAACAGGATAGAGATTGAGATTAATCTTAATACGTATATAATCCTGATTGTCACTATACTTGCTACAAAGTTAGAAAAAGAATCTAAGTATTATTCTTGATTGCGTAATAAAAAGTCGATATTTTTATCGTTGTCTTTTATGATTAAAAAGAGAAAAAGCAAGAATAAGCTCAACACGCCTTGGATTCAACAGATGGAGAAAAAAGTCAAGAGAAGAAAAATCTTCGTGTTTATAGTCATTAGCAAAGTCACAGAGAGACATGATAAATAAATCCGTCTATCATAAATAATTAGCAACGAAGCGTCGCGCTTCTCGGGAAAATATCATCATAACATTAACAAATTCACGTTTGATATCCGAAGCTCCAAAGGATCGTATATAGATCTTATGTAATGCGCTTTGTTAGGTAACGACTTTTCCTCGCGATTTTGATCGATAAATACCCAAAGGGAGACTCAAATCCCTTTATCGCAAAGCAAATCTTGCTTTTTATGTATAGACACCAGAGAGAAAGAAAGAGAGGACGTTTGCGATGTTTCGCGAAAATATAATGCGATTCGCCGCGATAAAGTTCGCGTGAGTGTGTATGTACAGGTCTTACACGGGTCTTTGTAACTTCTGATAACGCGATAATTATCGAGTCACGTGTGTACGTACAGGCGGTCGCGTATACTAATAATGCATGAAAAAAAAAAAAAAAACAGATATAAATGTGCGTGGAAACTTCCTCTGTAGAAAGAACTGGTTTTATCCTCTTTATTGTTGGAAAAAATCCTACCTGAGCATTTTCAGGTAGAACGAAGGGGGGGAAAAGAGATTGTGGCAGCTGGCCAGTTCAAAAACACGCATGCAACGTCAGAACCGTTTGCTTTTTTTTTTTTTTTTGCTTCTAAGTAACGTGAGTAAAATTCGATGAATTTTACAGCTTGAGAATTTTGAAATGTTTTAACACGCATCTGTTATATTTATTCTGTAAATTGTTATTTTAAGAATTTAAATCACTCCCGTTCTATGGCGGCGCTTCCTAGTACTCGTACGTAATACTTTTCGTAACACGTAAACGACTTCGTCACGTGCACGTTGTGCAAAAGAAAAAGAATCGTCTTTGGACTTTTGGGAAGGGGTACCGATCATATGGCCTGGTCGAACAAGGTCAGTTACATTTCGTGAATGCGCGGATATACGCAAACTTTTGGTTATTGGATCGTGTCTAACTTCTAAACGTGTCGCAGCACGAGACGTATCTTCTTAACTTCTCCCTCTCTCTCTCTCTCTCTCTCTCTTTCTCTTTCTCTTCCTCTTCTGGGACACGTGATGATAAAAGGAAACCCGGCGACATTGAAACGTGCTCGACGGCCAGGCTTTTGTGTCGTCGCGTGTTGCATCTTCGATGTCGATCTCAACGGGCCTCTTGTTCGGTATAACAACCTCTATGACCTAGGCGTCTTCTTTTTTGATTGTCTCGTGAAAAGAAAAATGTCACGTTTATCTTTTGACAATACACATCGAAAAAAGCGAAAGAGAAAAGAATACTTCTGTGAATAAAGTTTTTCTACATCTGTTTTATACAAAAATGATGTTTCATCATAAAAATAAAAAAAAACTATCTTCTCTGATTTCAGCAACAATGTCTGTTGACAAAGAAGAATTGGTTCAGCGAGCGAAGCTTGCTGAGCAGGCAGAGAGGTACGACGACATGGCGTCCGCGATGAAGGCGGTTACCGAGACGGGAGTCGAGTTGTCAAACGAGGAGAGGAATTTGCTCTCGGTGGCGTACAAGAATGTCGTAGGTGCGAGACGTAGCTCGTGGCGAGTAATTTCTTCTATTGAGCAGAAGACCGAAGGTTCCGAACGCAAACAGCAGATGGCAAAAGAATATCGAGAAAAAGTGGAGAAGGAACTTCGTGAAATTTGCTACGACGTATTGGTAAGCAAAAGCAGTTCAATATTGTCTTATTTTTTTAGTATTTTTAAAAATGCCGCAGTTATTTACTCACGTATTATAATAAAAAATACGTGTTTGATCGTCGATGAATGAATGTTTGCAAATCTGATTATTTACTTTTGTATGAGATGTGTGTGTATTCTGGAGAAAGAAAGAAGAAAAAGAAAACAAGCTTATTTCGAAAAAAAAAAAATTGAAATTCAGATGTTTTTATTCTTGTCTTCGCGTTCGATCTCTATATTTTTATTTTTCCATCATAATGATGTATGTGCGCAATTCGCATTGTTTTCCCAGCGGTCAGGCTATTGATTGTGTCGCTATTGATCGAAGTTGCTCTAGATCACAAAAGCGACGACGTGGACGACAAAAGATAAAAGTCGGTATTGAGATATGGGGAAAAAAAGCTACACGTGGAAAAGAAAATAAAAATGGTTGAATATTGTGTTTGCTCAAAGGAGTAAACACATTTGAACAAGTGTTTTCGCGGAACCTGAATGACAGTCTTTTAACTCGCGCGGAAGTAGACACGTCTCACGATTATTATTGCTGTACTTTTTCAATTTTTATTACATCTTCGGAGGTATTAAAACAATTCTTATTGTTAATGCTTTTAACGCGCTATTAATAATTGTTTTGCGTAGATTAATGTTTTGTCCTTCACAACAGAAATAGAAAGATTTGTGTTGTCTTTTTAATTTATTTCAATTATCTCTAGCAATTATTTGATAAAATAATTTTCAATAGTTACGCATTACTTTGTTTTCTTTTTCACGTGGTGTAAACTTCCATTTTGTTGACAATATTTTTCGAGTATATTTTTGCATTGTATTGCATATTTTATCGGAGTCAGTATGACGAATTCCCTACCCGTCAATGCGCGAAGTGACACGCAGTTGTCGGGGGAGTTATTATCGGACGATATTGACTATCGCACTCGTGATTAAACCGTAATAAGGTTAATTGAGTCGACTTTGTGGTCTTGATGAACGCAACGTTTGGGCGAACCTTTTGCTTTGAGCTACCGCATAGCTTTTGTATGATTCGATACTGCTACGATAAACGATCCTTTAAATGTCTCGGTTGCTTATTGCAGGCATTTCACACACAGATTTTTATTTATCTTACAAACACATAACTTCAGTTCTCACGGTTGAGATACGTGTGTGTTCTTTGCAATAAAAATTCATATTTTACAATTTCGAAATAATTTATCGAGATAAATCGTCGTTTTGATCAGAAGATACGGAAGATCGCGAGAGAAAGAGACGCAATTTGTCAAGTTTTTCGTGTCGATGAATCTTGTGTGTTTTTTTTCTTTTGAAAGAATGCGCCAGAAGAAACAGTTGTAGTGCATTCCGTTTTCCTTTTTCACGCCGATGCAACCGTCGTTAATGTTTCCTGTCTCCATACATAGTGACGAACTCCGGAAAAGGTGTCGGGAAAGATTATATGCCTGTCGAGAGAGCAGCAGGTGAAGTGGAATCGCGTTCCGAGAACCGCGATAGATCGGAATCGATATAAACAACCGTTTTTATATAATTACTACTTCGAGTAAACGATTTTGTTCTCACGCGAGGATGAAACTGTTTCTTATTATTCATACCGACAAATATTTTGACAACTGTAAAAAAAGTTATTGATTTTGAAGAACCGTTTTTTTTTTTTTTTTATGCCGAGATCAATCAACGTTATTGTCAACAAAATCCGCGCTTTTTAACGAACAATTTGTTTTTGTCGGATGACATTTGTCGGAGGTGCGCCAGCTTTAACTAGCGTCTACCTGTACGCATAGATAATTACCGAGTTGTGTTATTGCGTCGTTAAGTAACGACGCAATAATGAAACGAGGAAATGTCTCTATGGAAACGCTCGCTTCATTATTTGAAGTCATTGGCATCGTTGTTTTATATCGCAAAGAAAAGTTTTTCTTGAAAAAAAAAAGAAATAAATAATTGCAAGTTTTAACAAGTTAAACACCGAAGATTTATAATAAATTTATGTTTAATTGAAAGTAAATGTAGAGAGATTTTGTTTAGATTTGGTAATAACTATTTACGTTAATTTTATTCTTACTATTAGGATTTTTAATAAAATAAAAATAATTGGTTCGGTACTAGAGAAGAATGATCCGCAGACGTGTCAACACGTTAAGTTACGAAGTGGATCTTGCCGAGTGTCTCGCACCTTGAGCATCGAAAACCCGTTTGCAAGCAATACTCGTTTCTCTTCCGCACCTGGATCGTCTTACGTTAGTTGACAAATCTTCCGGTGCTTCTTGTACACGCGCGCTTCCTTGCTCAGGATCTCTGGAGGGTGAAGATCATCCTTCGTATTGGATTTCACGCGAGTCTATTACGAAGCTAAAATCTCGCGATCTTCATATCGTCTCTTCGTTAAGTCGCGAGCGACTTAAATACATTTTATACTTCTTACAAGGTCTAACATAAAAACGCTCGTGTTTTTCCGTTTAGAAAATACGTTATATCGCTCTGATTGTTTTGTTGCATTGAATTTTTTAAAATTCAAACTTTTCTTTTTTTTAACAAGAAGAAGTCGCACAAGTTTTCTAAATTGTGGAGCTTTTGATGCGCGATAATGAAATTCACATTAGAGTGCGGTTTTTTTAAACTTCGTCATTTTAAGGCTGGGTGTGCAAAACTCGTTAACCTCGATTTCGATTCGTCCCGATGCATTTTGCATCGCTCATCTCGAGATTTCACTCGATCTCCGTTTTCGTTACGTGAGCGATATTTTCCAGTATTCGGAAATAAGCGGAAACGGAAGAGGAAACGGGCACGCCTGCTCAGACGGACCGCCGGAAATGGTACGTTCCGCCTCGTAATGAAAGCCTTTTCTTGAAGAGAATTAAATCTGCGCTCGGAAAAATTAACTGTATTTTCTCTCTTGTTTAATTCAGAGAAAGAAAACGCTATTAATTTTATTTTATTCGCTATTACAAAGTTCGTAATTTGCGTTTCAGGTTTTTCGCAAAAAAACTATAGTTTTAATCAATTTAAATGACAAAATGTTTTTTCTCTTTCTCTCGGGTTTGCTAAATAAATAATATAAATGTTTGTTTGTATTGCTTGAAAAATACAATCTGTGTGCATTTTTCATCGCGACGTTATTGCTGCAACTGGCACAGATTTCGAGGAGGACGATATATATTTTGCTGTGAGTGTAAATGTTGGATATTTGATGAATTTTTCTCTCAAAAATGAACAATCGGGTGTGAAAGGACAGAGAGGAAAAGGGGAGAAGAAAAGAGCCAGATTTGAGCTGCAGTTATCGGGAGAGTTTGAAACTGGAGCAAGGCTTCAACTTGAAACGCAATAGCCGAGTGATTGAAATTGTTCCTGTTCTGTGCCTCTACGCACGTCACCCATGATAAGCCTGGCACCGTTGTATTGCACCTTGACGGTAAATCTCGCGCGCAAACTGCTTTTTGTGGTTTATAAGAAAAAAAAACCACAAACCGAGATAATTTCGAACGCGGTAAAAGAAGGTGAGAAAAAGTAAAAAAAAAAATCAGAGCGTCTCAATTCGAAATATATATAGGCTAAAAATCAATTGAAGAGAACAATAATAAACTCAAAAAGATTTAAACAATAGGTATGGATGTAATAAAACAAAAGATTTATTTCCTGGAACTTCGGCACGTACGCGGAGTCATTAAAATCGAACGCACAAGCGCGACTACTTTTCCTCATCGCAACGCGCATTCGCGCGATTACACGGTATAATTTACGATGATGCGTCAGCACGTATCAAAATCTCTCTTTTTCGAGATCCGTATCGTTCGGTGATAAGAGAAGGTTTTTCATTATATCTCGTTCGTTTCAAAACTGCGTGACAATAAGGATTTAAAAAAAACTTCGACTATTCTTGAATATTTTAGTTTGCTTTTCGTTATCTAATAATCAGTGTCAAAAATTTTTAATCGTGCCAAAATTTTCATCGTTTCGCCATTGTTGGCACGATAAGTTAATACTGGTCTTGTTATGATGCAATAAATATCGTCGAGCTATTTGCATGCGAGTTTCAAAGTTGTCAAGTTGGTTGGCCAAACGCTGCCCATATGTCATTGGTGGAATCAATCGGAATATATGAGTGTGTAGAGTATGTGAAACACGACTTTCTTGCTCTTTCTCTTTTGTCATCAATCATTGACTAATGTATAAACGATATTGCACATCAGTTCAACTCTGTGCTGCGCGCTTGAGATTGATTTATATTGTTCTTTTATTATCTGAAATTAACAAGTAATTTAATTTTGCGCAAATGTTTTTTGTAAATGTTTTTTTTTTTATATGTAACTAATAAGAATTGAACGCATTTTATTTTAATCAATTTGTAGAAGTTTTTATTTGAAATTTTTATCTTGTTTTCATCATCACACATTTATTTATTTTTTTTGAATTTTTTTGGTATTAACTACAATATTGATTTGTTGTTTGTATTTGTGTTTTTACAGGGACTCCTGGATAAGTACCTGATCCCTAAGGCTAGCAACGCCGAGAGTAAAGTATTCTATCTTAAGATGAAGGGTGACTACTATAGGTATCTCGCAGAAGTTGCCACCGGCGAAACTAGAAATAGTATGTATCCTCTAATTTGTCTCTTTTGTTATATGAAAATTTGTCATTATATATATTTGGAGATGGATCGAAGCAAAAAACAAAGGGCACGAAAAATACGGGATACAAATGTCGATAAAACAAAACTCCGTGTGACGGACAGTTTTAAAATTTAACTATTTACAGTTTTACAATTTATATTACAACATAGCTTCATATGTTCGAGAAAGAAATTGTCAAAAGTTTGACAATGAATTGAATATTTTTGCTTTGATCGTGTTCTCATTGTGATCGATGCAATTGCATCCGCCTGAACGCAAATCCGTTCTGTTCCATAAGCTTCTTTTGAACAGAAACGTCTGTAAGCATTTCTATGCGGTGCAGTTGCATCGGCAGATGCTTCGTTTTGAACGTCTTGGGCGGATCCCTAGGCTTTTACGTGGAGTCGCAGTGAAAGTCGACTGTATCTTTTGGAAGTGAAACCGAAACACGAATTTCAGTCACGATAATGTTCGCGATATAAATTTTATTTTAAAAAATAAATTTCCACAATTGATATTTATCGAGTATATCGGTAAAAAAAATCTTACTTTCGAAAAAATTGAAAAAGTAATATCGAAGTTTATTTTAAGTAATCAAGGAAAAAATAATAAAATTCGAAAGATTCTGCTATTTATATTTAAGAAAGTTATTACGAAAGTTTATAGAATACAATTTGTATATAAATTATGTGAATTCGCGAAGAACTCTAAAAAAAAAATTTCGATCATTCGTGTTTATTTTAAGACAAAAAGTTTAGGTGAAGACAAATGGCCAACTCTGGAACGAATACAAAAATATAGTATTCGTCAGGTATGAAAGTGAGCTCTTAAATGTTACTATGCCACTGAAATATTAAAGTCATATATGATATTGCGATACACACAATCCGTAGTAATTTTAATAAAACATTAATATTTGTTTTCTCTTTATTTTGAAGAAATATTCAATTTGCTTAGTAGCGCTTAAGAGCACTTGAGTTACGTAGAACTTGAATACAGCAAAGTGATGAATTAATTTGAAAATTAATCAATTATAAAGTAAAAAATATGGATCGAGAGTTTTTGCGCATTAATAAATAAATGTCAATTAATTGTCAAATTAAACTTAGAATTGCGAGCGTGCAAATTTCTTTTCGGAACTCGATGAATCTATGCAGTAAGCAAAGTTCTAAGTAGCTTTTAAACCAATTTGATACTTTAAGCATTTGAAGCGTGTTAGTTTGCGCAAACATGACAAACATGCATGATGATGATCCACGTAATATCCAGCTGTGGTAGAAGACAGCCAAAAGGCATACCAGGACGCGTTCGAAATCAGCAAGTCGAAGATGCAGCCTACCCACCCGATCAGGCTAGGTCTCGCTCTCAACTTCTCAGTCTTCTATTACGAGATTCTCAACTCTCCAGACAAGGCCTGTCAACTGGCAAAACAGGTACACCAATCCGACGATTAATTGTTTCCAGCGATTTTGCGGAGCTCGGTGACAGCGATGGTGGTGATGGTGCACAGTGGTGACAAAAATCGTATTTACGCGAACTCGTTTTAACGATTACCTACTCACTTCTGTCCTACAAACATCGGTTTCATATTTTAGTTCATATTTTATCGATTCATATTTTAGTTGCTAGTTTGAAACGTGCAATGAAAAATTGACGTGAAACTATGTGTTTTAAATTAGTTATCGTTTTCAATAAAAGATCACGTACTATTGTTCGAAACTATTTTAATAACTAATATTACACGCAACTATCGAGAATATATTTAAGCGCGTTTTATAGTGTGATTCACACAAATTTAATAGTGAAATATAAACCGCTTATATTAAATTTTTTGCAATAACATCGAGTGACTATGCGTTTACTATGCACGATGACAAAGGACGAAGATGCACATCGCAACGGTCGTCACGTCGTCGTGGACGAATAGTGACGATTTATGGACTCGGTTCACTCAAGGTCGACAATATTCCAAGTAAAACGTCGCGCGGCCATCTTTGTAGGACAGACGCGAGAGGAATTGTTGAAACTCTCGCTCGCATTTTCCCTCCTTTTATTTGGCTTTCATTCGCCTTTTCCCTCTTTGCGCTTCTCTACTCGTGACAACGATTTATTTCTCCGATGGTCACGGTGAAAAAAATGAGGTCGTGGAAGGTGTAATCTGAATAGAGGTTGATTTGCATTTGCAGCGGTAGTCGAGGATTCGCAGAAGGCGTACCAGGAGGCGTTTGACATTGCGAAGGCGAAAATGCAGCCTACGCACCCGATCAGACTCGGCCTCGCCCTCAACTTCTCCGTTTTTTATTACGAAATTATTAATTCACCGTCTAGGGCCTGTCATCTAGCCAAACAGGTTAGAGGACGGATTGTGAAAGACTTACGCTTGAAATTTGTTTTTTTTTTTGCATAAAAGATTTCATTGAATAAATTTGCCGTTATGTGAGTTAAATCGACGCGTTTTCTGCCGTGTGACGATGAACTGTTACTGATCCCATAATAACCAGTTTCTGAGATCTAATTCTATATCATTGACATTTATTCATTTTTGATTGTGTTGTGCCGTTTTAATTTCCATCTATTTGAATTCCTAACATTAATACATATTAATATGTTGATGTCTCCACTGGTATCACACTAACCATCCTGCATTACTTCGTAAATACAAATAATTTTAATATTTAAATAATATTCTGTGTGTGTGTGTGTGTAAACATTTCTCTTACACAATTTGTGCGTTATATGTGAAAGTGTATTGCTTGTATGAGTGTGTAGCATTAAAATACGCTTTTTTGAGAGTTGTGTTATGAAAGTTTGCCGATTGAAAAGTACAAATAATAATAATTATCTTTAATTACAAAAATAGAAAATTGAGAGAATTCGTTTTAGAATATTAAAAAATATAACACGTCAAAAGCACACACACATTTTGATATAAAAAAGTAAGAGATAATATAAAGAAAACAAAAATAGACGAAACACATCTAACGTTTAATGTTTTTTAGGCGTTCGATGACGCAATCGCGGAACTGGATACACTTAATGAGGACAGCTACAAAGATTCCACATTGATCATGCAGCTGTTACGCGACAACCTCACTCTGTGGACCAGTGACACGCAGGGCGACGGGGACGAGCCACAGGAGACCGGCGACAACTAACCTTCCTAAGCTTAAGTCCTTTCTAAACCTATAAGAACATCCTATTCTCTATCGTCTCCTAAAGTGCTCACCCACATGTCCATTCACCCAGATCCATCCATCCACTTGTCCTCTCGTTCCTCGCGTACCTCGTTTCCTTCTTCTTTCCCTTCATCCTTTCAATTGCGCAGGTCTCCTCTTTTTCCTTAAATCTTTCTTCGAAAAACAAAAAAACGTGATCCTTCTCTACCCCTCTTTCTTTCTCTTTCTTTCTCTCTTTATCACGTTGGAACGAGACACGGAATGCAGAGGACGACCCACTGTCATTACTCCCAACATCTGCTCGCTGCTTACCATCAAAAAACGACAGTATAAAGCTAAACTGAAAGAAAAAAAAAACACAAAGTACAGGCAAAAAGAAATAGCGCGGAGGTACAACAAGAGAAGCAAAATGAACGAAAAAAAAAAAAAAACAAAACGCACGCATGAATCTATTACATTATATCCAGTTGTCATTTAAATTAAATTTCACATTATCTCTAGCAGGTATAAATATTATTATACGAAGGGAAGAACACAGGAGGAGAAAGGAGAGTAAAAACAAATACATTAAGTTATTAAGTTCCAACTACATAAGTGGTGATTTGATTTTTATACACTCACTACACGTCTTTTTTTTTCTTTTTTTTTTGTTTTCTCCTCTTTAATACGACAACCATCACAACAACGCATGCAATCAGTAAGCGTTAGTAAGAGAGAAAGGGTCGGACCGCTCCGGCCTCCGTCTTAACAAAGACGTCAAATGCAATATGTAAACATATTTGTATCTTTTTTTTTTTCTGTAACTCATATGTAATTTACTTCGCTATTAAAATTAGGAATATACTTAATAGAGTGCACTTAAAGGTCGTGCAGAGTCGTAAGAGAGACTCCTATCGGAAAAAGGAACTAAGATTTCTAGTAGTTAGAATACTGTTTCTGCATTCTAGAGTATATGTAGTCTTATCATTAAAACTAATGTGCGCTAAAGAGCCAAGATTTATTAATTTGACTTTTGAAAATTTTTAAAATGTTCTACGATGTCGCTCTTTAGCAGACATTATTTGTGATCCCACTGTTTATAAATACCCCGCGTTTATAAATATTTATTACACTTATCTAAGCATATAATGGCCGAAAAAATGTAAATTGAGAAACCAAGTTCCTTTTGGGAATCTCTGCGCGACTCTGCCTGATGATACTTAATCATTGTATCTGGAAATCAGAGCGCCGTTTTTCCTTACTACGCTGCTGCATGCAATTGAATATACTCGGTATTTTTTTTTGTTTTTGTTTTTGTTTTTGTTTTTATTTTACAAGAAACTTCAACACAACCAAGACCTAGCAGTTACCTCCGCGGATTCACCAAAGGCCGGAGCATGTTTTTTTTGCCGTGCTGCTTATCGTTGCGGTCGTTCACGTATCTCGGTTTTACGCGATCGTAGAGTGAAATGAGGGAAAAAAAGTAGAGATAATGCAAGTTGCTAATAATTATCGAGATGTAGAGATTGCACACGTTACCACGAAGTTGTATACACCCTGATCCTGGCATCCGGACCTTTGACTTTCTCTCGCACTCTATTCGATCTTTCACTCTCATACTAACGTTATAGACGTTTCCCCGTTACCGTATTGCTATTTCTCGATGTATAAAATTGGTGTCTGTTCCGAATACAAAAGTGTCCGAAATCGCCGGGAAAGGAAAAGCGCGCAATGGCATCATTCAGTTGCAAAGAAGAAAATAAAATACGATAGAGAGAGACAGATATAGAATTGCGGAGAAGTGATGAGCAGAGAACAGTCGCACTGTGTGTGTCTGACTTCTCCCAAGCCTAATTCCTTTTTCAAATGAAATCTGAAATTGTAGCGTGTGTAAATTAAAGCTTTATAACTTGTCACAAATATTGTTTTTGTTTCGAACGTGTAACGGTCATAGAACGTGAAAGTCAAGCCAGTTCTATACAGACAGAAGCAACATCTTGCGACCTGTAACTTGTATCTATTCTAGACGAGGCCTTTAGGTTCAGAATATGATAATAAAAATGAGATATAAATAACAGGAAATAAAATAATTATGTATATGAATTGAATATAAAAACAAAATACGATTTTTTCTTATATAAGTCTCACATTTATTTCTTGTTATTTGTGTCTCGTTTTTATATTTTGCCTTGACGCTTACAATCACAAGACTTTAGGATGAAGGATTGGAAACGGTGAAGAAGGGTGCAGGTATTATTTCGTTATTGGCCTTACTTCTCTCTGTTTTGAAAACGTTCAATGAGGGCTAACTATGCAAAAAAGGATGCGCGTGTACAATCACAGAAATGATAAATATGTCAAGGTTATCGTCATCTACACAAAATGCATACATATATGTATATATACATATGCATACATATATTTATACATGTATAGTGGGTTTGCATAGCGAGCCTTCTCCGAATGTAACATTTTACTCTACTCCTCTCGAGAATTCTCTTGAAAAAATTTTGTTTCAAAATATAGCGTTTTTTTTGTTTTTATCTCTTAAATTCTCCCTTTTCTCTCTGTCTCTGTCTCTTTCTATTTCTCTTCAAAAAATATTTTTCCCATTCCAATTTTTTTTATGTCCTTGTATATTTCCTTTCACTTTCTCTCTTATTATCCTACCTGCCTATTCTCAATTCAACAAATCCGAAAGTTAACAGTTTGTGTTCTACTCATTTTTCTGAATATTGTGAATTTTCCAAAATAAATGTTATGTTTTTTTAATATTCTTGGCAGTAACTTTATTCGGGTCGGAAGAAACATCATTATCATTATCATCATCATCATCATCACCGTCATCGTCATCGTCATCATCATTCATAATCATCATGATCACCTTCATCTTTCTCTTTGTCTTCATTGTCATCACCATATCGTCATTATCATCATTAGTAGCATTGTCATCATTATCATATTACTATTATCATTATCACCATTATAACAGCAATTACATTGTTGTTGTCATCATCATCATTATCATTATTATATATGTCACCATCATCAGAAACATCAACATTAGTATCATACATTAGTATCATACATTACTTTATTCTCATATATTATCATCAATTATCATTGTCATTATTATCATAATCATTGTCATTGTCATTGCCATTGCCATTGCCATTGCCATTGCCATTGCCATTGCCATTGCCATTGCCATTCTGAGAGTATTGTATAGTTTCTCCGATCTTGAGTTCCAAAAGTTTTCCTTCGAATCTCTCTCCTCCTCGTATTCCTTTGTTTTATTTGATCATTTCGTATGTGGGTTGTTTCCAAAGTTTATTTGAAGCATCAATTCTCTGTATCCATATAGCGCGCGAACGTGATACGTCTACAATCGCACGAGCAGCGGCGACGGCACGTCTCTTCATTCCAAATATGATGTGGCAACGCGAATTTTATACAAATTCTCGAACAATTATTCGTCCCAATCCCCCTCCCCCCCCCCCAAATCTCATCACATCCATTCATCATCTATCCAAACACATTGATCGATCGTTTTCCATCTACCATCTATTCTTTCTCTTCCTTTTTTCCTTCTACTCTCCTTTCCTCCCCGCCTCAAATTACGTTGTTCTATTTGTATTTATCATCAACCCATCGTAATTGTAAATTATAATTATTATAAACGTTTACACGAAATAATAATAAATTCTGATAAAATGTCTGAGAAAAACCCACAGCTGTATCTTGCTTTTAACGATGATACCATCGTATCGAGGGATATGTTTACACACGGCAATGATGTTTCACGGCGGGAACGGTTTGAGGACAAAAGTTAAGATCATTATTTGGATAATTAATAAGTAAACTTTGTCGTTAAACACTACATGATTTCATTGGATTGGAATGAATTGCTTTTCCTTGGGTTCGAAATCCCCAATCTGCGATATTTTTAAGTTATTCAGTGTTTTACATCTTTGTAGAAGAACATCGTGAAAAACTCTTTGGTAATCTTTTGAATAAATTTTAAATACATGTTAAACACTCTGACAATGTTATTCACAAGATGATTGACCAAGTTTTGCTTTTTGTCTTGTACACGCTTTCACGTAAGTCGGTGTTAATTTACTGCCGGTTTCTTTGGAATTTTGTTAACAATGGTTTTGTTTGTTTTACAATCAACATGTGAGATTAACCGCTTAGTCTTCTTGATAACTCGATAATGACAAAAGATTTTTGCAATCGATGCGAAAAACAAGAAAGAGAAAGAAAGGGAAGAAGGAAATAAAACCTGAACGTGGGACGACGTTCGCGTGAGGACGATGTGTATTATTTGGCATAGTTGAGGTCTAGCATTATATCGAGATTTCAAAGCACGCTGGAGGTACGGAAACTTTTTTTATGTACTTAAAAAAAAAAAAAGGAAAAGAACAAAAGGGATATTTATCACGATTGCTATTATGGATATCATTGCATTAGATATACATCTCTTTGCCCTGTCCTCACTTCGCTTTGATCCCCATCTTACCTTCCATTCGCCAACTGCCCATCCTCCGTTTTTCTTGTCGTATATCTAGATGTACTATATGTACTGTGTGTATACACGACTTTCACACTATATATTCATACATACGTACATTTATGTATGCGTGTGCGTGTATATATGGATGTGCACATCATCAGAAAGATACGTTAAAAAAATAATGACGCGAGATATATATATATATACATATATATACATATATATATATATATATACATACATATATGTATATGTACGCGTGCCTTCTCTGACAAGAAAGGCCTATTGATTAATCATGCTAAATTTTTTGCACAATTTATACGTGTAGTCGAGATTACGAAAAAAAAAAAAAAAAAAAAAACGGTTTTTGCTAACGAAAGTAGCGAACTATTTTAATGCGACGAGAAGAAAGGCCAAGCGTTTTGCGGAGGTAGAAAGAATAATAATTTTAACGGAAGAATTCCAAAAACTTGCGCAAGAAGACAATGTTTCCGCAGTCATTCACGTAAATTTACGTAATAACCGTACTCCTCCAGCAGGTCTTGTCGTACATACAACTAAGGTAGAGAACGTGTAGATCCAAATGAATCTCAACCTGCGAATTGCGCGACAACTCTCGAAAATCGCTCGAGGAAGAAATAAATGAATGATCGCGAAATTTGATGCTGAAATTCTAGAGCGATAAGAGTAGAGATTTTTTCTTTGAAGTTGAGAGAGAAAGAAAGAGAGAGAGAGAGAGACAGAGCGTAGAATTTGTCGCGTCCAGAACGAGGTTGAGATACAGATTACATTTTTGTGTGATAGATGAGCTCCCGCGTAGATGTTCTTATCCGGCAAAAGTTTAGTTTACCCTTATTTTTTTTTAATCTTTGTTTCTCTCCATTTAAATTATTTTCAAAACTAGTATGAAAGTATGAAAGTTCCACTTGCATCAGATTGTGCAGTCGTGGGACGTTTGTGGGGATATTGGTGTATTGCATCAGGTGTTTAAATTTCTTGTGATGCAATATCTTGTAGCAATCCAATTTTTTAGTTTTCGTCGAGCAAATATACACCGACTCTTCGATAACAATAATTATATTAACATTTGTCGATTAGCCATTTTCAACATTCATCGACTCCTTTTCCCGGTTAATTTTTTTTTTCTAAATCGCACATTTTTTTCTCAAGAAAGGTAGATTGCACAAGCACTGAACAAACACAAAGATTTATTAATTACAATAACAATTTATTGCAATTCTTTTTTTCTTAATAAAAAAAAAAGACGGAAAATAATGAAAGGCATCTATACGAGCGCGTTAATTTAGCTAAGAGCGCGAGAGTATATTCGTCAAATCGTGGGAGAGAACTCGTGACTGGCTAACAATGTTTAGCTAGCGACAAAAACGTGAGCTCTCTCGTGTTTGATTAACAATATACTATTACGATTGCGCTTGGACGATCCAGTTTTCACAATACGTCACAATTTTCCCCTTGTTTGATATTTTTCTTTTTTTCCTCTTCACATTATCGGTCGATATATTCAGTGTTTCGATTGTGTCACCGTGCAAACCTCTCTAGAACAAAGTTTTTCTTTGGTTTTCCTCTGAACTTCTAGTCTATTTTTAGCTGTTGATCTGACCTCGCCCTTCATCTATTCTTCCTCCCCATTCACCGCTATATCCCTCTTTCAATTGATATAAATCAATGCCGTTTCAATCGAATATATTATGGATTAACAAAGAGAAAAAGATGCTAATTTGGCGGGGTGATGTTTGTAAATAAAGCTATAAAAGCGACGAAACGGTGCAGTTATTTCAGACCCATGTCAGTCGCTGCATCGACTGAATTCTAGAAGATTGTAGAAGACCGTAGAAGAATTCTAGAAATGTTCTTTCCGTTATTACACCTTTTTCTTTTTTTTTGTTGAAACGTTTCCGTAAAAAAAAAAGGAGACGTTTAAGTATTAATTTAACAATCAACTTTGTAAGATCAAGCGCATGGCATGAATTTTAAGTTAGGCGTATATTTTTGTTATACAAATGTATGTATTAGAGGTTTTTGTGTCTCTGCTAGACTTCGCTCAGCAAATTATGCGTAAGATGATGAGCATTGCGTCATGTTCGTCCAGTCGGCCATCATGCTTCGTTCTGAAAGGTGCAAATACGAGACCCGAAGCACGTATTTAACCCGAGCCCTGCGCTCGGATCGTCAATATAAAAGCATTTCTCAGAGCATTTCGCACATGCGAAGAAGTGAATTTGTGTGTCTCAAACGGTTTTCTTGTAATTTTTTTTTTTTTTTCAAGATAAAATAGACAAATAATACGAAAGTTGATATAAAAGGAATATAGTCGGTTTTTAATTTGCATTGCGATTGAAGACACTTTTAAATTGCGTGTTCAAACTTTGTGAATTTTATAAAATTTCAAAACTGTAATTTACGTCCCGAAACGTTGCTACTCAGCATTGTCTTCAGGTAAGTTCACTTTTCTTTAAAAAAAGATTTTTTGTACATATACACGCAAGATTAAAAAAAAATCACAAAACTTATATTTTAACGACATGTTCTTTGAAATATCGTAATAGTTTTCAACTTCTAAGTGATTAAAGATTAAATTTACATTGGTTTTTAACTACAAAGTTAACATTTTAATCACGGATATAACAAATTTAAGTATCTAAAGATTATTTTTTTAAAATAAATTAAATGTTTGTGACGATATAGAAATTAAAAACCAATGAGATTGTTTTTTATTTTGCGAAATTTTATGTATAAGTGAGAAAAGGAAGCGTATACAAAAAAAATGACATTGTTTATAAAATACTTTACGATGATCGTAAAACATTATATATGTGTCTCCGAGTGTGCACGATGACGAAACTAATCGATCAATGTACGTTATCTCTTTCTAATTATTTTGTTTTGTTTGTTCTACCGACAAAAACCGCGCCTCAACATTGATCAATGTATTACTTTATATATTAATCTACCTCGTTTGCAATAAACGATCCTTCTAGATAACGTTTATTTCTATATTGTGTACACACGCAATAATACGGCGAACAAATACGGCTTGAAGTATAAACGTCGCTTCTTTTCAACATCATCACTGCGTGCAGGTGAACCTAATGGATACTTCAACCATGAGTTCACTTGAAAGTCAAGAATCTTCGACGTGCTCATCTTGGCAATCTTTCGACGATTCGGAGATTTCTCAACAGGTAAGTCTCAAATATAAAATTTAAAACTTCAGCTCGCAGTTTTCAATCTAAAAACAAAATTTAAATTACAAAAAAAAATTAAATTCTTGAGATTTTTTCGTACTTCTTATTTTCACGTAATCTTTGTTCGCGAAAAAATGTTCCTTCTTTTGAATTTTTCGCCTCGAATGCAACCTATCGATGTCGCATAGCGCGCGATCTCGAATTCGTTCGAATGCGTTCCGTGAATGGTCTGCACTGTCGGTCGGTGCAACTGCTCGATCGCGATTGGCTCAGACGACGTGACGACGGCGACGAGGTAGGAGGTGACGCGCGGGCCAACCCAAAGGTCACCTTCAGTCCGCCGAACGTCGTTGCAGCGGGCAGCGGCGATCGACAGCGTTGGTCAGAGGAACGTTGACATTTGTTGGCAGCAGAGGAACTTCATCGTCATTAATTATTACACGTTTTTCTGGTGAGTTCCGGAATTTGTCATTGTTTTATGATAATCGATTTGACGGTGGATTTCGAGCGCGCGACCGACGTTCGTCGATTCATTTTCCAGAACGACGCTTGTCACTTGGCGTGCGACTGTCAATTTTGACCTGTTAAGTTAAAAGTTCGTTCCGTCGATCAGTGATAACGTTGCTCCGTAATTGATTTGTGCCACATTCGACACGTTCAAGTGACGATTTCGCCCAACTCCGGCTGTAAACGCTCATTCAATGATTTTCTGACCAGTGTGATATGTGTCTAGGTTAACCTTACGCAGGTTGTTAGAATACACAGAAACGATTAACGCAGTTCGCTTCGTCTTGCAGATTGATTAGAGTCGGTCAGAAGAGAGCCGGAGAAACGCCTGACGCGATTCACGTGACGACTGCAAATAGCACGAACAATAATTTAAACAACCGAAGGGTTAATTAAATAATTAACCCTTGTATCCAACAATAATTTAATTTAGCAATCGTAAACGGTGCAAGTGAGATGACAGAACAAATATGCAAATTGCGGCCTACATCGTCTTGATCGATTTTCGTCACATAGTATTTTTCTGTCATTTAATGAGAGTGTGATAGAGATATTATCTAATTGGCGAGATAGCACATGAAACATGTCACGAGATACGCATCAGCTGCCGTCTCTCTTGCGAGTGCAGTTGCATTTTGCGCATCTTTCGCGAATTATTACTGTTGTCACGAGGAGAGTTAACAGAAATGAAGAAAACGTGCAGAGAGATACTTTTAGATCCACACAATTACCGTAATCGTACAATGCGATTGTATTTTTCACGTTGTATTTTTAGAATCGATGTTATTGCCTCTCGTTATACACACGTAAAGTAGACCGTGTCATCCGTCGTTGTAATGACAAGTCGACAAAAAAAGCTCGGCGCAAGCACAACCAGTAGTAACCGTATCATATCCCGTTACGAGTTGTTGATGTCTCTCGCTTCTCTGAAACACAGCCAAATTTCGCTCACACACGCACGTGTTACTTAATTTTAAAACGAAAAGGACTGCGGAGAATGGACGCGTGTCGCAACGTCCACTTTGACAGCTATACGAGACTTCGAATATACTTTATATTTAATGGAGTTCGTGCTCTCACAAGTTTTTTTTTTTATCACAGCCTATTTTTTATCTTATGTTTCTACTTGAAATATAACATATCTATCTTTAATAGCTTAGTAGTTTTTGTTTTTGTTACACAAATTAGAAAATAAAATATAATAACTTTGTAAAGAAACGGATTTTCGAACAATTTGACGAGAGATAGTGGAAGATTTTGCAAGCGCGTTTCATTGTTTTTTTTTTGTAATAAAATTCGGACTAAAAATCTATTGCTTGTCAAATACACCTGAAACGTACTGAATCTAGGTTAAAATTTTCATTGAGTAAAGTAAAAAATTAGTTAAATAATCGAAAACAAACGCGTATGACAGAAATGTTCAAAGATGATGAAAGTGTTCGGTGTCGCTGCACAGATAAAAATTATTCAAGTTATGCAGAAAATGACAGTGATTTGGATGATGCTCCAGATACACGTGTGCAAAATGCAAAAGAAAATTCCAATATTTCTAATCAAACAAAATTTTCTCTGGACAATGTCGCACACGGAGATATGTCGAGAAAATCTATTGCCGTTGAAGTATTGAAGGAAACTGATGCCGATCGATTGAGAAAAATCAGTACGCAAAATCTAAAGCTCTCTGTGATATTTCCAGAGGCAAGCGCTTTGTTAAATAATAACTTTAATTTTGTTTTTCTTCTCAATCGTAAAAACATTGACACGTAATAAATATTCGAAGAAAATTCGATCTCGTATAGATGTTCTGGACGACTTTTGATTCGGTTCAAAATTTACCAAGTGGTTCTTCATTTGAGATCAAATTTGACACGCTCGAAGAAGAATATGCTAGGAGTTTGCGTTTTCCACAATCTGTAAGAAAGTTATGATATGCTATTTTTTTTTGTTTTTGTCTGCTTTTCCTTACACACTTATTCTCTTTCTCTCTTTCTCATACACGCTACAAAAATATATTAGCGAAGTATATAGAAACTGTTACATCACACACAGTGTAGTAGACGTCGCTGAGATAAATCAGAAAAAGAGAGAAAAAAAATGTATCGTTTCAAAAATCATCGAAAGATATATCAACTTTACATATTAATGATTTTTCTTTTTAATTATAGAGTTATAAACAGTATTGCGACACAATCATGGCCGAGGACGCGCCAGCTCAAAGATTTATAAAGCCCGGGAGCCACAAGGGCAAGGGCATCGCCGTTTTCACCAGTGGAGGCGATTCTCAAGGTATCAAAATTAATTCAACGACACTATTTCACACACGTAACATGTAAATAAAGACAATTAACGTATTTCTGATGTGTCATTACTTAGGAATGAATGCTGCTGTACGAGCAGTCGTGAGGATGGGTATTTATCTCGGGTGCAGAGTGTACTTTATTCGGGAAGGCTATCAAGGCATGGTAGATGGCGGAAAAAATATCGAGGAGGCTACATGGTCATCCGTTTCTTGCATCATTCACAGAGTACGGATTGCAGTATAAAAAATTGTATCATATCATTTTTTTGTTTTGTCTGTAAGATATATTTTTTATTTAGGGTGGCACGGTAATCGGTTCTGCTAGATGTAAAGAATTTCGGGAGCGTGCTGGTCGCAGAACAGCCGCCAAGAACTTGGTCAATTTCGGGATAACGAATTTAGTGGTGATTGGTGGAGACGGTTCCCTCACTGGTGCCAATCTCTTCAAGGAGGAATGGCCGGATCTTCTGAAGGAACTCGTTGAATCCGGTAAATAGAAAGAATCGTTTTATTGTTTGACGATATATGTATCTTAGATACATTCTCTTTCTCTTGAAATTGACGTTACTTCTTTTTCTATCAGGGGACATAACTGCTGAACAGAGAGAGAAGAACAAACAGTTGCACATCGTAGGTTTAGTAGGTTCCATTGATAACGATTTTTGTGGTACAGATATGACTATTGGTACCGACTCCGCGTTGCATCGTATCATTGAAAATATAGACGCTATTGTTAGCACAGCTCTTTCTCATCAAAGAACATTTATTATGGAAGTTATGGGTCGTCATTGCGGGTAAGTGTAAATTACACATAAATTCTATTTTAATTCTTGAAAGAATAAGAAAGAATAATTTACTTTTGATATATTTGTTAAATGATCTTATGGATTTCCAAACATACGTTTTAAAATGTAGAAAACCATCACACGTATTTTGTTATGCAGTTTAATAAGTCAGTGCTCTTAGTATCGTTTAATAAAGCTGCGTCGCGTTTCAATGATAAGGTTCATAGATAAACTAACTGATGATATAGATAAACGAATAACTTTCGGTTAGGTATCTGGCTATCGTCGGCGCTTTATCAGCGGAGGCCGACTATGTTTTCATCCCAGAGTGTCCGCCTCCCGTTGACTGGCCCGAAAAATTATGTAGAAAATTGGAGCAGGCACGTCCAAGAGATTTTCCAAATTTTTTAGATTGTGCACATTACTGTTTACTAATTTCTACTAACTTGACTAAATACGAGAGACGTTTTACATGTCCAGTTTTATATGTCCAGGTTTTTTTGCTACGAAAAAATGCACATTCCTCCGAAAAGTATGACAAAGGCGGAATGTGAAGAAAGTCTGTATTTGTATGCCTTATTTGTTACGCATTAATTAATGTAAAGTTAAATGTACGTAAACGGCAGTACAATCGGTGGTACTGAAGATAATTAGATGACAGAGTCTTTCAGGTACCTGACAATAGCGTCAAGTTTGTCTACCGAAGCCTGCTATTCCTTTATTCCCGAATCTCCGACAAGTGGTGACTGGATCGAGGAGCTTTGTAGAGCTGTGCGACAGGCACGTTTCTCAACCAGTCGTTACTTCAAAATTTTTTATCAAATCCCAATATGTATACGTGTTTTTGCATTATTTAAAAAGCCCGCAATATAATCTTCCCGAAATAATCAGATTTTGTATGAAATTTAATTATTTTCTTTTTCTTTGAACCTGTTTGCATTTATTGCGCGAAGATTTATTGCAAATATAATATTAATTTTTGTCCATACATTTCGATCCGAGCACAACCTTTAAACTTCACACGATCAAGATAAATAATGACATGTAATATTAGTTTACATGTTATTTTACAGTTTAGTTAGGTTTTACAATACTATTACAGTTATCTGGCTCTGGTGGCAGCTATAACTTGCGAAGCTGATTTTGTTTTCATCCCTGAATGGCCACCCGAGCAGGATTGGCCCAACAAGCTGTGCAAAAAATTATTGCAGGTTCGATAATATTTTTTTTTTTTTATTTTTTACGATATAAACATCTTACTTTTACTCTTTATATTTATTTTCTGATACTTAATTTATCCTGCAAAAATATCCTGCTTTCAGCTTTTGCTTTATTCTTTTATGTTTAGTTGCAAACTGTTACAATTATTTCAGTTACATGTTTAATTTTGTTTATCTTTTAATAATAAGTTATTTGCTTCAGAGTATACCTTTTGCACGTAAAAAAAAAAATAATATAAACTTAATCAAATGCATGCTAATAATTTATATATATTTTTCAAACGATAAAAATAATAATGTACATAAAAAAATAAGCTATTGTTGGCTCCGATATTTTAATGTTACAAGTTTTTAATGTTATGTGCGTGTATGTGTGTGTACATGACACTATATCTATATGTATATTCTAATAGATGTGTGTTTTAATAAAAACCAACATATAAAATCTCTTTTTATACAAAGCAACAAATTAAAATTAACAGTCTATTTTAGAATTATTAATATTCATTATCTTTTTCAGCGTTTATGCTATTCTTTCTTCAATTTTATTGTTCAATTGTTTGCTTTTAAACTTACAAATTAAAGCAATTTAATTTTTAATTTTCGTAGATTCAATTTTTTTTATTTCTGTACGATGTTCCTTGCAGGAAAGACTTACTGGACAACGACTTAACATTATTATCGTGGCTGAGGGAGCTGTCGACAGAAACGGAGACCCAATTACCGCAGAAAAAGTTCATAAAGTAGTTGTAGAAAAATTACAGCAGGATACGAGAATTACCGTGTTAGGTCATGTACAAAGAGGTGGCAATCCTTCTGCTTTCGATAGAGTTTTGGTAAGATTTTTCTATGTTTTTCTTTTCTTATATAATGAAATTTTAGTATTTTTAATACAGTTTTGCATTGATTTAGTCTCGCAAAATGTTTACAGTAGTATACAATATTTTTGATATGATGCAAATGATTACAGGGATGCCGAATGGGAGCTGAAGCTGTGATGGCTTTAATGGAGGCAACACCCGATACAGAAGCATGTGTCGTTACATTGGACGGAAATCAAGCTGTGAGATTACCACTAATGGAATGTGTTCGTCGTACGAAAGCTGTTGCGCAAGCTATGGCCGATAAGAATTGGGATCTCGCTGTGCATCTTCGAGGAAAGTGAGTACATAGTGATTTGTTACTTGAGTACTGAAAAGTGTAAAGTATAGGATACATCTATATATGTATTTTTTTTTAGGGGCTTTGAACGTAACTTGGAAACATACAAAAAGCTGACTCGTTTGAAAGCTCCTCTCCTAGAGAACGACAGTAACAAGGTATCAATCATTTTCTGTTTACCCCTTAAGTTTATTTAACCCAAAAACTCAACTCTATATTTTATGCAGTATTAGCACAGCGTTAATATCTCGCGCGCAATAGATAGAGAGTATATATTACTAAAAATATATAAACTTTTATTAATAAACTTTGTATTTAATAAACTCTTGAATCTTTGTGTGCGCAATATAATAAAATAAAAAAAATAATACTGAATATATATATAAATTACTATATGTGCTATTTAATACTGCTTCAGGAAAATAATGGGCGTGCATTATCGAAGGTAAATCTGTTAAGAGCTTATATAAGCATATTACATAACACTGTTCGCAAATATTATATGTATAACGTCCCTGTGAACGTAATTTTCCTAACGATACCTTTTTCCTTCCATAGCAATACACTTTATACGGACAAGTGAGTTAACCCAGCTTTGGAGTAGAGACTGTGTGCCTTATTTTAGAAATATATCATTTATCATACTTTATCGTACGATCGCTTCCATAGGCAAACGGAACAAAGCATTGTGTGCGCTATTTACCACACAACGTCATACACGAAAAGTGGTCTCGTGCACGCTGCATGATATGTCGTATCGGTTTTCATTTTGTTACAACCTGTGGTTTTGTTGCAGGATAACTATACGGTAGCAGTCATGCATATAGGATCACCATCGTGCGGCATGAACGCGGCGGTTCGTTCTTTCGTGAGAAATTGTATTTATCGAGGAGACAAGGTAGTGTTTTTGGTCTATAACATATTTCAAGAGATTTGCAAGTGTCTTTTTTGTTGCATTCTAATGTTATGTAACGCAGGTCTACGGTATCTGCGACGGAGTGTTGGGTCTCATGGCTGGTAGATTAAAGTTGATGGACTGGCCATCAGTTACTGGATGGGTCTCAGAGGGTGGTGCAAAACTAGGAACGAAACGTGCACCGCCACAAGACGATCAGTTACCTCAAATTGCTCAGAAACTCAAAGAATTTGGAATACAAGCATTGCTCATCATTGGTGGATTTGAGGTGAAACACGTTTTCCGATTTTTGCACGTTGATCATCTAGAGATAAGAGCGCGTCGTTAAAAAAAAAAAATGTATAATTTAATTTATAATTGTGTCTTCAGGGTTATCAAACGGGTCTCAAATTTTTCAAAGCAAGGGACAAATACGAGGAGTTTCGAATTCCTATCGCTATGATCCCAGCGACTATTAGCAATAATGTACCGGGTACTGAATTTTCTCTGGGCTGTGACACAGCTTTGAATGAAATTACAGAAGTAAGCGTCGGAATATATATATAGATTAAGAAAACGCTTATGTTATATTATTAAACTAATAATCTTTCGCTATTAGATCTGCGACCGCATTCGACAGTCAGCGCAAGGTACCAAACGCCGCGTATTTATTATCGAAACGATGGGTGGCTATTGCGGATACTTAGCAACCGTTGCTGGTTTAGCCGGCGGTGCCGATGCGGCATATATATACGAGGAAAAGTTCAATATCAAAGATTTGAATCAAGATGTTATTGCAATGGCTGGAAAGATGTCGGAAGGCGTTGAGAGAGGTCTCATTATTAGAAACGAGAATGCCAATGAAAATTACAACACTGAATTTATGTTTAGACTTTTCAGTGAAGAAGGAAAAGGTTTATTTAGCTGCAGAAGAAACATACTTGGTATGTATTTTTTCTATTTTTGCTCATAATATTCATTATTTTACTTGATACAATTTTATGAGAATATATAAGATAAATATACGAATAATTTGTTGTTACATCAAATATTTTGTCTTTTTAGGTCATATGCAGCAAGGTGGCTCGCCAACGCCTTTCGACCGTAATTTGGGTACAAAAATGGGTGCTAAAGCGGTGGAATGGTTGAGCGATCAATTGAGAAAATGTACCAGTCTCGATGGAAAAACGCTTACTACAACGGCGGACAGCGCAGTAATGCTTGGCATTATCAGACGCCAGTATAGATTTACACCATTTACGGAACTTATCGAAGTTACCGACTTTGAGTACGCGTTCTATTGACTTTTTCAACAAGTTGTAATATATTGAGAGATTTGTTCCACGCTGCTTTCACTAACGTGGTACTTAATAAAAATGTTTTAGGCATCGCATTCCGACGTATCAATGGTGGATGAAGCTGCGGCCTTTACTGAAAGTGTTAGCAAAGCATGAATCGACTTATGAGGAAGAGGGTCTATACATTACGGTCGAAGAAATGGACCAACAAAAAGATCCGCCTCTCGTTTAAAGCGCGAAATCAATTATAGCGTGGTTGTAATAATAAGTGACAACCGCAAATCATGTCGATAATCATGTGGAGATTAGATATTGAGAAAAGTACCGCAGTATTGTATTAATATATTACAATAATTTTATTGCAACTCGATGAAAAACGAATAACATATATGCATATATATATACATATACATATACATATTTATTTTTGAATCATGTTTATCAGAAAAATTTAGATGTTTATTTATAGTAATGATTCTTATGACACAGCCACGTCTACGTTTTCATATTATTGCCTATTTATTTAAGATCTTCTCGCAAAATTTGAATGTAACTCAAACAAGTAGCAAATATTATCAAGAATATATAGGAATGCTTTTTTTTGTCTTTTTCAAAGATCGTGTTTCTATTGATATGCACACACACATACAAACACACGCGCACTTTAATTCAGATAAGAAATATAATGACAGTACCTGAACCGCAAAGATAAGGTATGTTTTAACCATGTAACATCGGTACAATTTGTCGATAGAAATCATATTCTGTTCACAATAACACAGAGCGATATTGTTACTGTAATAATAATCTAATAAACGTTAAAATTGCATTGCGTGCGCGCGCGTTGACGTATAGTATTGAGAAAATTATATTAGAATTGATGTACTTGTGTAAAGTCTAGCTTATAGTAAAACAAAACAGTAAATATTTTCGGGAGTAAGAAATAATTTTTAAAACAAAATACGTAAAATCGTATAACTAAAATCGAGACTATTTAGCAAAATGTGCAAAATTTACATTTTGATATGCTGCTCGAACCCAGTGCACGCGCAATTTTAATATTTGATTTACCGTGAGAATAACGTAATTAAACAAAATAATTCACGAATTACTTTTTAAGTTTTTAGCAAATGATATTATATTACAGATATTATGTAAACAAACAGTTTTTTAAGCTTCAAATATTATGAGTTAAAAAGCTAACAGGTTCAAATCTTGAATTTATATTCCATTAGCTTGTTATTCTGTTATTTAATGCACAGCTGCTGGGAATGCTTCATAAGAGAATAATAAGTTGTTTCAGTTGTAGCATGGATCGAGAAGTAAATCAGATTGAGAAATTTTTTAAGAGTTTCACATTCTGAACTATATGTGGTCTACTAAGACGTAGGATTAAAAAGTAATGTGGTATTTTGCGTCGGTGAAAGTGTTTATCCTTCGGTTTAGCGTTACTTGAAGCTATAAAAAGCTATTGGAATATACCTGTCTACCTCAAAAGATAATTTTGCAACGGTGAGCGAACGACTCGCAGGAAGGAAAATTGATCTGAGTCGCGCATTATAGTTGCACGTAATATTAAAAAAAACAAACCTTTTGCTAAAATTTAAGGCTTGTGACCACAAAAGTATTTAGATTTAATTCTTTTTCTCTTATACTCTATACTCGTGTATTTATCTTTCTGAGAATGTTATGCAAGTATCAAATTGTTTTTCGCGTATAAGATAACGTTCGACGTTTCGTCATGTTCTTATAAAAATTCTAGGATCTAAATGATTACATTCTAGTATCATTGAACCTTGTCTCGTGCAAACTCTTACTCGTATTCGTGAATTTACTAAAGTAAAAAAAAAAAAAAATTATCAAACTTTAATAGAAATATGTGCGTACAAATGAAGAATTTTGTGTGTGTTAACAGCGTAATGTATGAAATAAGTCATAATTGTTTTAAATGTAGTCCACGCGCGTGTGCAGGTAGACACACACACGCACATACGTGCGCGCGTCAGAGTTCTGAAAATACGCAACGAGTTTTGTTTCGATAAACACACTATTTATCTCTCGCAACGCGATGATGTAGATTAAGATTTGCTTATAATAGATAGGATAGAAGTTAATGCGTAAAAGAGTAAGTTTTTGAAAGTACAATGATACGCGCATGTATATTACTCGATAAATTAACATGTAAAAAAAACATATATATGTGTGTACGTAAAAATTTATTCGATAGTTCGATTGATTCTCAAGTTATTAAAGTACAGAAATAAATCTAATAGTAATATAAACACAGACAGATAAAATAGCTATTGTAGAAAACAATCAAATAATATCATTACTATCGATATCAGTTTTTTTTTCTATAAGAAAGAATCTTTTTTTTTTAGTTATTACTCAATCGAGAGATTAAACGTTATATACTGAATGAAATTGAAGTGTGACAACAAGAGAGACACGTAAACTTTCAAATTTACTTTGCGTACACGTAAGACACCTATAAAATTCATTCTTTAAAATTACACTAATCAATGTTTTTTTATAATGTGTAAGTAATAACAATTATATCGGGAGAAAACGTTTGATTGCAGACTTGAATACAGAATTATTCGTATAAAAAAATTTCAAAATTTCGCGTTAATACTCAAAATATATTAATTTAACATATTCTAGAAAAGTGGTCATTTATAGTCTACACGTGTTAATAATATGTAAATATAAATGAGCGCTATATTTTTATCATTCTTCCCTCTACGCTTATACGAGAGGGATGTACAAATAGTAACTTGCGTAGTGTCAAATTGTTAGCTGCCCGCCAATAGCACAATAAGAATATATAAACCTGAGAGATATATATATATATATATATATATATGAAAAGAATATATTTATTTTAAGATTTCAGAGATATATTTTTGACTCATTGTTGATCAATGAATTTTACATTCTATCTGCAGGACGTGTACGATTACACGATTAATTTATTTTTTTCTCCCAACACTAAATAATAATTGTATCGATGTTATTTCCGGAAAACGCTATTACGTGTAAAATTGCATTCGTCGACAAATTTGGAATTTTTGGAGACAGCATGTGTTCCGAACTTTCGAAACTAAGGTCGAAATTTGTGAGAAAAAAACCCGAATATACACAGTGTGCACGGTGTTGTATTTATGTCGTGAAATAAAAAACTATATATTCTACATGTGCATTCATACTATATCTCGCTACTACTGCTCTCAGTAATTTATATTATATTATTTGATGCTAATAGCAGCAAATAATGATAATAAAAGATAATATAGTGCTTACTTTTGATTACACTCCATTTTGGCGCAAACGGCAGCGATGACTTCACCGTAGAGCATTGTCGTCCATTTTTATCGAATGCGCGATCCAAGTTATTTATCACCGCAAACGTTTATTACGATAATTTCCATACTTTACGACACGCACTTGCTACTATTTGCACACGACACGATAAAATCCAAAAAATATGAAAATTCGAACGTAGTTCTGCGCTCCGCGTCGGTCATTTTGTTTCTCGCGCGCTCTTCGCGGAAAACTTTCGCCGTAAACTTCGCGATTACTGTTATCAGCAATCGCGCGATACCTAATTACGTGTGATTCTGTTAATGTCCGATACTTCACAACGTACGCACACGCGTACGATCAATAATTGCGCGCGAGGTGACAATAAATCGCGATAAATACGAGACAATTTGAACGAAGTTCCGTCACGTTGCGTGTTGACTGTGTGAACTGTTCGCCAATCCGAATATATCGTCATATCAAAACGCGCGATATTGCGATTCTCGAAATATCGAATTGACGCGCGCAAATAGAGCGCGTAAACGTACCACGGAAACTGAGAGCCATAAGAGATGTGTAATCGCTTTTAAACTCTGTAAAGCCAGCGCCATGTTCGTAAGTGGTGCACATTGGCAACTACGTAGCCATATTCGCGAACGACTCGTCGGTACGTACGTTATGTTGAAACGTGGATATGGTTCTGTTCCGTGCTATGTACAATTGTCCAAGTGTCGGGAAAGAAGAAGCAGCTAGAGCCAGCACAGAAAGTTTAGGTAATTGAATGTTTATTCTGCCAAGACGTAAGAAAAAGTCGCAATTATTATTGTCGCGACGTTATTTTTAAGTTACCGAAGTTTTATTATCGGGTGCGTTCAGACAACTCAACAGTTGCACAACGGTTGAGAGATAATCACTTCTGAGTGGATCATACTTTTGGAACCCGCAGCAGATTTTGAAGAATAGTCCTATCATAAGTGATGATCTCTCAACCCGTTGAGTTGTCTGAACGCACCCATTAAGTTTTGAATAACATAATAAATTTTGATGTATTAAAATTATTGGGTGCGTTCGGACAACTCAACAGTTGCACAACGGTTAAGAGATAATCACTTCTGATTGGATCATACTTTTGGAACTGCTGCAGATTTTGAAGAATAGTCCTATCATAAGTGATGATCTCAACTGTTGAGTTGTCTGAACGCACCCATTATGTCAAGATATAGTAATAATTTTAAATTGTTGTATTATGTCAAGCATATAATAAAAATTCAATGACTTAAAGATATATACTATCGGTGCTAGCTTGTTGCTTGATCCGTCTCGACACTTGGACTCGTGCGTACAGAACAAAAGAGAAACGGCATAAGCTCTGTTCGGTTATTACTGGCACTACTGCAAAATCTACGGTATACGTGACACGAATCTATAGATTTTCAGTACTGCCAGTAAAAAAACGAACGCAGCTATGTTGTGCTCTTTGCCGCGCATTTCAATTAGTTCAAACTTGGGCAATCGCGAGTAAGTTCCACTTGGCGCAACGATCGCGAGCGTAGGTCGAATTTACAATGTTCTGTTGCATTGGTCACTTATCCAAACATAACCAATGCGATTGGACAATGTGGACGCGACCTACGGCTGCAATTGGTGCTAGCGACAAAAAAAAAACTGATACCTTCTTTGCAACGGACTCGCGACTCGGAGCGAAACTCCTCTTGTTCAAATCAGGTAATTTTCGTAATTTTTGTCGTTTAGCGCGTAAATATCCGATATGCATGTGCCACAAAGTGTTCTTTGTTGAAACAACAAGTGGTTAGTATCGCACACCCGCCAAAAACGATGCAAGACAACAATCATTTGTTTTCTCGGTGGTCGTGTTTCCGCGATACAGAATGGCCAGCGCAAGTACGCTTCGTTTCTGCAATTGTTTCGTTATTTTTTGCGTTTTCTGTTATCTCAGGCGCGAACCGGCAGTTCGCGAATATCAGTGTATGTCGCAAAGTGACGGATGTATGCGTTGATTCGGAAGTATCGCAAGTGATGCTTGAGCATTACAGTCAGTCTTGGCGCGACCGTTTTTTTTTTTTCGGTAATATTACAAATTCATATTACGTTGTGACTGCAAATTCAACTTATATATGGGAAGATTCAGACTCTGTTTTTGTAAATATCTTGTATTTGATAGGTTTTGTACAGTAGAGAAACAAAAACCTACGTATACGATATATATATATATATATATGTACACGTATAGATATGTTGAGTTAATTGTAATAAATATGTTTACATAGTTTACAGAGTTCAGAATTAGAAGGCGGTGTGGAAAGACAATCGAACAGTTTGTACTACAACTTGCAAACAAGAATATGCAGTATAAATGTAGATTAAATTGCGATCAAAAGAGTGTGAACCATGACCTTTACCTGACTTATTTCTTGTATTTAGAACGTGATTACAGAAAAAAGGTACGTTTACATTTATTTATTTTGATAGATTCAAGTTTTTTATTTGTTTATATTTATGTAGATTTTTTTATTGGTTAGCTGAGAGAAGAAAAAAGTGCGAAAAAGCAATTACCTGATTTCAAGTGATACTGTGGATCTTTCAAGAGGTAGAGAATCTCAAATCGGTAAGCTCAGAACGAATTTTCTGCGATTGTAGTTCACGATTTACGACAATGAATATTTATTGATGAATAAACGCGACGAACGTTTGAATCCGCAACAAGTATTAGCCACACTAGTGTAGGACACTAATGTTTTAGATTTTAAAAGACTATAAAATGACAGTCATTATATCAAGAATGACTTCCGATCAAAAGAAGGTAGAAATTTGTTTGCTAGATAAGTCAGAGACATTGCTTAGTAAGCATAACAATAAATATAAATTTGAATATAAAGTTTACTATTAAAGCAATATCAATCAGATCTAAAGTGAGAAGAATAGAAATTTAAAAGTTTGTTAACATGTTAAAATATTCTGCAACAATATTACCGCATTGTTTACGTTAAACATTTTATAAAATATGGAATGGCTATTAAATATGAAAGTAAATATGAAATTAAATATGAAATTTCTTCTTTTATGCTTTTTCAGAACGCTGGAAACTGAAACATATGAATAATTTAATAGAATTATACAATAAGAGTCCTGTATGGAACGATGACACAATCATACATGCTAAACTTTTATGGACGAGTAACCTAGGCGTCTGTAAAAAATTTTCAAGTTTTCTGATGGTAAGACAATAATGGAAATATTAAAAAATTTTTAATTTACATGCTGTATATTTATATATAACTAAGAAATATCACTCGATCTCTATCGATTCACATATTTACAAATTTATTAAATTCAACTGTGTATTAATAAAATGCAACTTAATTTCAGTAAACTACATTGTAACGCAGTTTGGTCGGGTCGCTGAGGATGTTTTTACAATGGATTACAGATTTCCTCTTTGTACAATCCAAGCCTTTGCTATTGTTTCGAGTAGTTTCGACAATAAATTAGCTCCTGTGGATAATAACAAGGCCGATCGATCGTGAACAATCAAGTGAGTATTATATGTACTTGCCTTCAA